TCATATGGAAGACATTAGAGAGTTATTGACAGTATGCATCCTCTGTGCTGCATGACCTCAGGACAACATGCCAATTCCCTGAAACATGGCTTGGTTAACAGAGTGCAAATGGGATCAAACCACGTTTTAATCATGTTTCCAAGTTACTCTAGAGACCTAGCCTTTGCAAGGCTGCAAACTGGGAAAAACACCCCAAAACCACCAATACTGAAACATGCTACAGCTTCAGAGGCACTAATACACTGGGTTGTACAGAAAAGCACGCTGACACCCAATGCTCCAACAGGGCCCCATAACGCAGATTTCAGGAGGACATTATGGGTTAATATAGACACTGAGCAAAATACACCTTCTGACACATGAAAAAAACAAATCTTATGCAGCTAAGCCACAGAATACACTCCATTTGCATGTATATATACACAAATGGCATGCAGAAGAAAAAGCCCTTCTCACCATCTCTCTGCCCAGTACATTTCTTTTCCACTCACCTTGGCCCTGCTCAGAAAGATCAAGGCCGGGTTGGATGGGGCTTTGAGGAATCTGATCTAGTGGAAGATGTCCTTGCGCATGGGAGGCGGTTGGAACTAGGTGATCTTTAAGGTCCCTTCCAACCCAAACCGTTCTATGAGCCTATGATCCTTGCTGTGCACAGGAGAGAAGAGCCGGCCCTCTCGGAGCGCTGCTGAGGAGGCAGCTGTCTGGCACACCATGCCCTGCTGCTGCCGAGGGGCCTGAAGCTGGGTGGTGCCGGAGGCATGACAGGACAAGCCGCCTCGCAAACAAACACTGCCAGGCCTAGGGGCCGGCGACCAACCCCACGGCACAGTGCCCCAACGTACAGTCCCTGGAAGCAGAATGCCTCAGACATCCTCCAAAAGCCAAGAACAACCCTCCTCCCCAAACCAGCACTGGTAGCAAGGGACAACAGCCTCAAGAGGTTGTGATGGAGCTCTCCCCCAAATCCTGAGCTGGAGAGGCAACACAAAGTCAAACAAAGAATGCCATCTGCTCTATCATCACACTGCCTGCCTTTCTTGGAGACTGGGGCGATGCAGTACCAACAAGATGTATGTATAAAGGGTCTATATATTTTCACAGGAGGTATGCCAACTGAGATACGGTACAGCAGTTGCCACATGAAAAATTCCCTGTGGCAACAACCAGGGCATCTGCAAGAGAAAGCATCACAGTCTAAAATTTGAAAATGCCAAACCACATGCTCTCTTTATAATACAGTCATTTATTAAAAGCAAGGGGAAAAAACCCACCCTGCATTTAATTCTTGATCTTTGCATACAAATCCTGAAAGAGAGAGGGCCTGTATGCACTGGAGGTCAGACAATTTGCAAGTTTATAATTCTTCCAAGAATTTTCAAATGCAGAAGAGGGCAGAAAATGATTCTGTACCTCCTTAACCTCAAAGGATCACATAAGTATAGCTAAGCCAGAAATTATACCTCACTTCAGGCTGCATTTTCCTTTCTATACACATTTACCATTTCTAGCTTCCCTGCTCATAATGTACATAGCTTGTACACTTTGTGGTTTTTTTTAAATTCATATGCAAGGACTCTATAGTCTCCTGCCTGACTCTTATTTTGAATATACTCTCATGTAGCAGCCAAACACTCATGAAAAGCCCTGTAACATGTTCACTTGGTATTCCCCATAGATGAAAAACAGTCTTAGTAAAGAAAATTCGGTTATAAGCTGTTTAGTAAGAATTCGTTTTAAGAAACCACTGTGTATTCACTACAAAAATAGCATGACTTAAGAAACAACTAGTGTCAATTCATTTGAAACTCCTGTTCCCCAAGTCTATGGGTGTGGCACATGGGATCCTACTACATTAAATCCATGCAGTAGTTCCCTATTATTTTTCATTCATGTATCAAATTAAATGCTCTTAAGTCTAATGCCCATCTAAAGGCAATGTGCTATGCCTTCAATTAAAACCATGGATTATAAATTTCATATTCATGTTAACCACCTTGCAGGAATGTCAAGCACAGAGACCAAAACCTGACAAGATGATACTCATCTACAGTGAAAAAAATTGCATTGCTTTGAGATTTTTGAGATTTTCTCTCGAGTTGTCAAAACTTTATTACCAGAGGAGCTGCAGACTAAATTTAGACTCTCCAGGGCTGCATCCATCCATAACCTGGCTTTTTTGGCACATCACTACTACAGCAGGCATTCAGAACGCTCAGGGGACACTGCACTTTGCTCGGCCTACTTAGCAGAGACAAAAACACATCTAAGACTCCCAAAGAATACAAATACTTTTTTACTAAGCCAGCCTCTTCCTTTTCTGCTCCTCACCACAGCAGCTCTGTTCCTGTAAGTGGCACTTCGCAAATAGACTGGTATTGCCACAGCACCTGTATTATCAAAGCTACTTCACAACAATGAGAAAAAGAAGGTCTGATTGCTTTTTCTGTCTTTATTACAAACTGTTACATTAAGCTTTAGGTATGCTCTGAATAAAGCCTTTAGGAAAGGCAGAACATCACATTATTCCTTCTTGCTTAAGTTCAGAATGTCCAAACTTATCGCTAGGTTGGCTATAAAATGTTGGCAACCGTGAGGTCTCACAGCCAGCTACTGAACACGAGTGTACGCCACAGCTAGGTAGCTCATGCCTCCTAGTAATGCCATCAGGCTTTTCATTCAGGCTTAACATCCCCTCTCTTCCCTCCTACACTTTCTGGTCTCTCAATAGCTCCTTACCAACAAATATTAACAAGAACTGAATAGTCATATAACAGCAGGACAAATCTTAATGCTTTTTTTCTAAAAAAGAATAAAATGTCCATACAATTTTACAGTAGGTTATAAAAATTTCATTATAGTGGCTATGCAGCTTCCTGTGAAATGCTGTGAAATGCTTCATAGTAAAGAGTTTCCCACATATTCCTTCTCTTTGAAGTCCTGGAGAAATGCTCATATTTTACGGAAACTAACATTAAGCTGCATGAAAGCTGCCAATGCTTCAGGGAGCATCAGCCAAAGGAATGCCAGAATGAATAAATCAGATTGTCCTCAAACTACGGTCCATACCATGCTTGCTGGCGCTCTGCCTGTTAGTTGGCTGGTCATTTGTGCTACTGTTTTCCTAGTTTCCATCCTGTAAACTATGCTATAAGTACACTAAATAAACTATACATACATTACAAAAACTACTTTGAGGTTACATGGTAAATGACATTAAATACAGAAAGATTCTCAAATCTTCTTGTCCATCTATCTTCAATCCCTACACATGCACGTCTTGCACGTGAGAAACAGACTGTGCAGTCTCAAACAGAAAGGATCTAGTTTGTAAGACTACTGTGCTGTAGTGTCTGCAATAACCTAGCAAAGTTTAGATTCATTAGTTCAGAGAGTGAAGTCCTCCAGACCACAGGAAGGACTGCACTAGAACGTTTCATCAGATAAGGAGATAGTAAAGTCCCTTCTGGGATTGGAATGAACATTAAAACAAAAATAAGACTGCGTAGGTATCAAGCTTGACTACCAAACTGAATGGGGAAATGCAAGTTTACGGCTTTGACCTGTTAAGATATGAATGCAAAAGCATCAGGTAACAATAGCAATCAATATAATCCAAGCAGTTCCAAAGGAAGAAAAGATTTAATTTTATACAGGATGGAGTAAGAGCTCTAATGAGACAACCCTTTTTCAGTTTTTCCCTTGTGGTATGTCCCAAAATCCTCACTGGAGGTCACAGAAAAAGTTGTATAAGAAGCTGTGTAATGAAATGGGACAGTGGATTTGTGATAATTTCCATGTTTTTCTCCTGCCTGCTGCACCCAGCTGAAGTATATTAATCTGATCTCAAATACCTTTAACTCACTGTATTCTGCATAATCAAAGTTTTCTTAGATCACCTCTCCCCTATTTTAGGAAAGGATTTTGGGGGTGGGGGAAGAGTAGGCTATGAGGCTATCATAGGCTTCAAAGGATTTCCTGTACCTTTCAGGGAACATCTTTGAGACAGGAAGTTTACCCACAATGGTAGGTAAATTCAAATATATGAATGTAAGACCCCACTTATGTATTTCAGATGGACCAGTAAATAGCTGAAATGTGGTAATGTGGTTTCAGTTCTATGTACTTAGAGCACTGTCTTCGTAAGTAAGATATTCCCAGCATGTCAGTTGTCTGGAAGTGGCAATCTAAGTTAGATCGCCTCCAACACAAACATCTTCAAATTTAAAAGTCACAGTAGGAAATCGGAAAGAATCACTCCCCAGGGGCTTCTGTACTCTCAGCGAAACACCAGCCTTTGTCTGTGTCATTTCTAGTCATCATCTAGTTACAAACCCTGTTGTTTAACACATATCTTGTAGTTGTCACTCTGATTAACCAAAATGTCTAAAGTATTCAAACCATGATCCTTTCTTTCAGGGCTCATTACCAGATTAACTTAAAACAAGAGTTCAGTTACTTTTAAACAGGCAGATTTTCTTGACAAACTTCTAAAGCCCTCACAGCAGCTAAAGGTTCATTTCCTCAAATCCATGTTTTTCTTCACAACCATACTTGTGCTCTTTTCCTGCACATGTCAGAAGGGATTTGAGGACCCTTACCAGGAAGGAAAAGGTGCTGGGGAATTTTGTTCACCCAGGGTTTCAGTTCTGTATTTGTCTTTTTCAGCTATGTTTACTATCCATTTGAAAAGATACCACCACCCCAGTGGCTTTAAAACACAAAAGCTTATCACTGTATTCTTCTCGTGCTTAGTCAACCTTTTTATTACTTCTATGTATCTTCTGCTACATCTGTCCCATTCACTTCTGCGTTATGCTTTCTCAAGGCACCTTATCTTTCCATGATTAACATCAACACCAAAATGCTTCCTTTGCACATGCATTAGCCTATTTTCTCAGAGTAACTGTTCTATGTCAAAGTTAAAAGTCATCTATTTTCAACAGATCAGACTTTAAGTGGGTTTAAAATAAACATTTGTAGAGCATACCGCGCTTTCTTACCTGAACAGAGTTGTTCGACTTTTGTGTAGTTTAAAGCTAATATATCATTAACCCATGCAATGATGTCATGTCTGCTCATAGTCTCTTGGGTTATAGAGGTAGAGTACACGTTGACCGCCATTCCCCAACTAGGAAAAAAAAGGACAAAAAAATATTTTTGACATTTTGATAATTGTTGTCTAGATACAATGAATTCACATTTCTTATGCATCACTTATTTATTGAGAAAGGAGGCTTAATTTTTATTCTTTGATGATACATAATCTCCTCAATGTTCTCTTGGAATCTATGACCATATTTCTCTGACTGTCATTGTGAACTTAAAGAACATAGAAACTTACAGTACTCTGCTTAATGCTAATAAGGTAGGAAAAAAGAACTGGACATAGCCTAAAGATACACAGACAGAACAAGAGACCTGGAATATCATCATATAGTGCTGCACAAATACAGTGATCTGACATCTGACCGTCAGTCGTTAGCCACTGCAGGATGATCTAAGCCAGTATTTAATTTTCAAATAACTCTAGAAGATGTAGCTGTTCTGCTTACTCAAATACTGTTTTCTTACTGTAACAGGAGCCTGCTGCATCATTAATTCAGTTCCTAACAGTTACAGAGTGAATACCAGATAGTATTTTTTACAGTTTACCAACCTCTATCCTGAAAGTAACTGAGACTTGTACCCCCAACCATCTGGTTGGAAAGCTGCTGTGGACCCTGATTCCTCTAAATAGTTAGGAACATTTCCTCTCAGTTTAAACACATTTGTTATTCTGCAAACATTATCCTCCAGCTCTAATGGTTTCTTCTTCCCCAGAGCCGATTTATAATGCATGAGTGACGGCATTCAGAGACTGCCCCAATGCCCAGGTAGTCTAGATTAAACAAATCAATCCTCCACCTCTCTTACCAAGTTAGACCTTGACTTATTGGTCAAGCCAGCAGTTTCAGACTGTGTTCAGGTAACGTTTCACCAAGATCTTGGAAAATGGCCCTGTGTACTGAAAATTCATAGCCACACTGTCTTAAATGGATTCTTAAAGTTAGCTAAGGTCCTCCCCTGCAAGTAGGTAATACCTAGTAGCTGTTATCGTCAGTCCCCAAGTGCATAGATTGGAAACGCATACTACTAGATTTTATTCCCTGTTATTCTAGTCACATCATTCAGTTGCAAGAGATTGCTAAGAGAAAAGATGAGCACATTCAAGTTTAACTTGTCAATAGTTCCAAAGAGCAGAGCCAAGAGCATTCATGGAAAGAGTAAATAATATTCCCAAGACTAGTGGACTTCAGGATGCCCACTATTAACAATCCCAGTACAAGGTCTCAGAAATGACCAAAGAGTCAAAGTTGCAGTATTATTCTTGAAAAGAAAGTGTTTGGTGTGGACTGTAGACCTTTGAATCTAGCAAGACCTGTACTAAACACTTAACTGGTGCCAGCCTTACCACCTCAGACTTGGACCTCAACCTTCCCCCTCAGTGAAAGAGAACAGGATCTCCTCTGTGGGATCCAAGGCCTACGTGGACTATTTCCATTGAACTTACAAAGATGTAACTGTTTGAAGCTGAATAGACAATTCTGCAGAGAATACAAAGACTGCAGGTTACCTCCATCTATTTTTTAGGTGTGCTGAAGTAACTCAGATAAGTTTAAAAAACACCCATGAGCACAAAATTTGACACAGTAATATATAGGTCTGTAAAAATACATACAGGAGGAAATGTATTTAAAATACAAGATGACAAAGTTCATAATCACAGAATCACAGAATGGTTTGAGTTGGAAAGGACTTTAAAGATCATCTAGTCCCAACCACCCTGCCATGGGCAGGGACACCTTCCACTAGACCAGGTTGCTGAAAGCCCCGTCCAACCTGGCCTTGAACACTTCCAGGGAGGTGGCAGCCACAACCTCTCTGGGTAACCTGTTGCAATGTCTCACCACCCACACAGTGAAGAATTTCTTATAGCTAATTTAAATCTACACTCTTTCAGTTTAAAACTGTTACTCCTTGTCCTATCACTACAATCTGTGATAAAGAGTCCCTCCCCATCTTTCCTGTAGGCCCCCTTTAAGTACTGGAAAGACACTGCAAGGTCTCCCCCAAGCCTTCTCTTCTCTAGGCTGAACATCCCCAACCCTCTCAGCCTGTCCTCATAAGGGAGGTGCTCCATCCCCCAATCATATTTGTGACCCTCCTCTGGACCACACTTGAGCATGTCCGTGTCCTTCTTACACTGGGGACCCCAGAGATGGACACAGTACTGCACGTTGGGTCTCACGAGAGCAGAGTAGAGAGGGAGAATCACCTCTCTCAACCTGCTGGCCACACTTCTCTTGATGTAGCCCAGAATGCAGTTGGGCTTTCTGGGCCATAGTCAGTTTTCCATCCACCAATACCCCCAAGTCCTTCTCTGCAGGGCTGCTCTCAATCCACTCATCGCCCAGTCTGTGTTTGTGCTTGGGATTGCCCCGACCCATGTGCAGGACCTTGCCCTTGGCCTTGTTAAACTTCATGAGGTTTGCACAGGCCCACCTCTCAAGGTCCCTGTGGATGGCATCCCTTCTGTCCAGAATATCAACCACCCATACAGTTTGGTGTCACTGGCAAACTTGCTGAGGGTGCACTCGATCCCACTGTCCACGTTGCCAAAGAGATGTTAAACAGCGTCGGTCCCAGTACCAGCCCCCGAGGGATGCCACTTTATCACTGCTCTCCACTTGGACGTGGATCCATTGACCACAACTCTTTGGATGCGACCATCCAGCTAATTTCTTATACAGTGAGTGGGGTCCATTTGTCAAATTAATGTTTCTCCAATTTAGAGACAAGGATGTTGTGCGGGACAGCGTCAAATACATTGTACAAGTCCAGATAGATTACTTCAGTTGCTCTTTCCTTGCCCACCAGCTCTGAAACCCCATTGTAGGAGGCCCCAGATTTATCAGGCACAGTTTGCCCTTAGGGAAGCCATGTTGTCTCTAACCAATCACCTCTATTTTCCATGTGCCCTACCACAGTCTCCAGGAGGAACTGCTCCATGATCTTGCCAGGCATAGAATTAAGACTGACTGGCCTCTAGTTCCTCAGGTCTTATGTCCCTTTTTAAAAATGGATGTCATGTTTCCTTTTTTCCCTGGTCAGCAGGAACTTCACTGGACCACCATGACTTCTCGAATATGACAGACAGTGGCTTAGCCACTTCATCCACCAGTTCCCTCAGGACCTGTGGATGCATCTCATCACATCCCATGGACTAGTGCACCTTCAGGTTCCTTAGATGGTCTTGACCCTGATCTTCTCCTACAATGGGTGGTTCTTCATTCTCCCAGTCCCTGCCTTTGCGAGTATAGTTGGAGCCCTTGCTGGTAAAGACCAAGGCAAAAAAGTCATTGAGTACCTCTGCCTTCTCCATATCCTGGGTGACCATATCTCCCTTTTCCTTCCAGAGAGGACCCACATTTTCCCCAGCCTTCCTTTTATCATCAACATACCTGTAAGAGCTTTTTTTGTTGCCCTCAATGACCCTGGACAGATTTAATTCTAGGTCACCTTCTATGAAACAAGTTTCATAAACGCAGAAGATAATTCAAACTGTCCCCATCTACTGACATTAAAGTCCCTAATATAAAATCTCAAAAGTTGCCTGACGAGAAAGAAAAAAATTACAAAACAATAAGAAAGGACAGGCCAGTAAGGGAAAGTAGGGTCAAAAAATTCATGCTCCAATAGTCAGGCTACTACTGCCAACAATTCATTCAGAACCAGGCTGCCCCTCTACCCGCTTCTGTATGGGCACCTCTCAAGTACGGAAGAAATCAGCTTGTCCTCAAGTCTGTTCAGTTCTTCCTGCAGGCTCCCAGAAAGCACAGCTAATTGTATGAACATAGCACTGTATTCACTGTAACAGTTAGCAAAGGTCATTTTCTTGGCACACATTAAGTGCTTGGATTGAACCCAGCATTAGCAACAAAGTTTTAGAAATAGGGAGTGGCCCTTTTACTCTTAAAACTACACCGTAATGGCTATCCATGAAAGCTTAACTTCAACATAAGGATGGAAGGAACTGAGCAGGCAAACAGCACTTTTGTTACTGCTGGCATCTGAAGTTTAAAATGTGTCACTGTTAACATGATTTTTACTTTAGTATTCTTAGCCATTTTACATAGATTAGAAACTTACTATCAGTACTAAATTAAAATGTTCAGTATTGTTTGTAAGATCAGTTCAAGTAAACAGGTTAATAGTGACTTTAGTATTCACTTAAGGTTCAGAACAATAAGTTATATATTAAACCAAGAGATCAATATGGAACAGTCCACTCACTTCTAGAGAAACTAAACATATTTAAATGCTAGCATTTGAAATAAAGCTACTCTGATTTGTAATTACTACTACTTCACCCAAACTTCAATTGTCCTCTCAAGGCCAAGCAGAACTCAGAACAACCATCAGCTACCAGTAGTGAAAGAAGCAAGTCTGCTCTGTTAAAAAGATCAAAAAATATCCACATGCAGGAAGGAAGAAGAAATTTCCTCATCATCCTTTTCCAAAAGCAACTGCAAATAGAATACCTATCCTTCTGCAAGCAACAAGAAAGCTAACAACCTCCTTTGCTGCAGTGCATAGGACGGAGAACTCTACTTCAGGAAACCGTGAGTAAAGGAATAACCTTGAGTTTTACAGCGATACCTTGTAAGGCATTCTGTAATATAATTTATGCTGTGTCTTAAATGAATTATTATGGTCCATGGGTTAAATGAAAGTTCAGGCTATTCATTAAGAGACAGTAGCTTCACATTCATACAAACGGATATGCACTAGGCTGTATCAACACAATTTTAAGCAAACTTATGCAAAACAAATCAGAATTTCTGTTAAAAAGCTCAAGAACATGCCAGTGCCATTTATCTTCAGTGACTTCTTAACATTTGTGTGAATCTTCCACAGTCTCTTCTCTTGAAAGAGCTTACCATGTCTTTGCTGTTTCTGTCCCCCACCCTCCTAATGGTTGTGTTTTAAATAAACTCAGCTGCGAAAGGTTTCCTTTACAGTAAGCATGTTCTAATTTGGTGCTCAGATACACACATATCCTGTTTGCCACAGACAGACCTTAAAAAA